GGAGCTGAAAAGGGACTGTCTTCATGGAAAATAGCTTTGGTATTCAACTTGCTATGCGCTCGAGACTTCAAAGGCCCACTCAAAGACTGAAGAGGAGCAGGCCCAAGGCAGCAAAGCTGGTGAAATAATATATATATGGAAACAGTGAAATAATATATGTGGCTAGCATCTAAAGAAGGAAAAGAATCACAGCACTTTGGTAGCACCTCCAATATTTCTCTGAGCCTCTGAAGTGAAACTTTACAAAGATTTACTGCCATGTAGAGAGAAAGGAAGCAAAACAAATATCTCCCCCCCCCCCAAAAAATGTAAGTTTCCAGTGCTTTTTCATCCAATATAAGCTAAATAAAAAATAATGGGTTTTCATTGCTTAGTATAGTGTGTGACAGACTGTATGAAAAGAAAGAGGCTTTGTTGGTCCACCATTGATCCTTCAGGATTAACTTTGATTCTTTTCAGAATCAGCTTCACTATTTGCAATCGTAATTAGCAAATAATGATGTAACTATTATGACTAACAGTAGGCATCTCCCAATGAAAAGTGATGTGAAGAATCTATTAGCGGCCGCTCACCCGTATGGCAGCTGTCCTTCCTATCATATCCCCTGTGCTAACTGGCTGCTTTCAGGTGACATAGATGCTAACCAAGATCAAGAGAAGAGGCCCCTTTTTTGTCATTTGCCTCCCTAGTAACTCTTGTTGCACCAAATTCCATTGTTTCCCCTGGAATCATATTTGGACAGATAATATGGAAATCAAAGACTGAGGATGAAAATACAGGTAGTCCTCAATGCACGACCACAATTGAGCCCAAAATTTCTGTTGCTAAGTGAAATGTTTGTTAAGTGAATTTTGCCCCATTTTACAACCATTCTTGCCACAGTTGATAAGTGAATCACTGCAGTTATTAAGTTAGTAACATGGTTGTTAAGTGAATCTGGCTTCCCCCATTGACTTTGCTTGTCAGGAGAACACAAAAGGTGATCACATGACCCTGGGGAAACTGCGACCGTCATAAATATGAGTCAGTTGCCAAATGTCTGAATTTTAATTAATGACCATGTGGATGCTGCAATGGTCATAAGTGTGAAAAACAGTCGTAAGTCACTTTTTTCAGCACCGTTGTAATGTTGAGCAGTCATTAAATGAACTGTTGTTAAGTCGAGAACTATCTGTATAACAGATACTTCTAACATGATAGCAGGGTCTGCCCATTCCTATAAACTTCGGTATGGCTTTTTCTGATTTAGACTCATGTGCCTCATCTTGTGGACATCCAGATTTCTTGGCTACATATCCCAGCATTTCCCTGATAGAGTGGCTGGGAGTAACAGGGGTTAGAATCCAGAACACAATTCAGATCCAAATGGCTCTGTTTGGATAAGTGCTGTGAAGTACATTTATAACTGGCTTTAGATGTTTGGCCTTCAATATGAGCTGCATTCATCATATCAAAGAATGACAAGCAACGTCCTTATCACAAGCAGCAGTTAAGACATTGGAGAAGTTTGTTTCCTGTCTGCAGTTTCAGCTGAAAGTTGCAGATTCTTGATAAAGCCTGCGACAAGGGTTGGGTGAAATGCCCTGGTATCTTTACGTCCAAAGTGGACATCATTTTTCAGACACTATTCAGCCATTTTAATCTGTGAAACTTAATCAGGGAATAAAGAACAACACCAAAAATATATTTTCCTCTATCTTTCAATCCAAAATTATAAGAAAAATTCAATAGAAATAATCTCCAGGTATTTTGCAAAATCAAAAAATACAGAATCCAGTGGTGAGAGTCTAATGTCTCTTCACCACCACCCCGAACGTTACCATGCTTTCCATATGGAAGGGATGAAGATTATCCAAAACAACATATATCAAAGAGAAAAAAAGGGAAAAAGCAATTAGAGTCCAGCAAGGGGTTGAAATAAATCAGCATTCAACCACTGATTAACTTTTAAAGCAAAGAGCAAAATAAAACAATAAGATCAAAAAGTGAAAAATAAAATCCCGGCATGCTTAGAAAATGAAACTGTTTGATGGGAAGATGGATATGCCAGTGACTTCATATGCTTCCAGAGGGAATTGGAATCTTCAAGACCCCCCCCCCGCTTCCCCACTGGATCCACAATCATCCAAAAGTTGTCTCAGGTCACTCCTAAGTGTTCCCATTTAAAACCAGGGAGCAGCACTGCCAAAGAATCAACTTTAGCAGTGAAATCAGCAGATCATCAGGAAGAGAGAAAAAAAAGAAAACCGTATCGATCAGCAGCCATCTTGGGAGGAGGGGCTAAAGCGGATATCTTTTTTGTCACATGGACTATATATAATGGAATGTATGTACTTATGATTTAAAAAAAAAACCAATGTTTGTGGAATGGTGGGGGATATAATCCTTTGCCCTCACCAAATCAGAAGTTTTGCTGTTTGCAATAGTAGCAAACATTTAATAGAATTCTGGATCATAGTAGGATCAATAAAAATAAAAAGTTATTTTTTTAATCCTTGTACCTTTAACAAGTAAGTACAAAGAATTTCCTGTTTGCATTAATATTAAAATCAAAAGAATATGGTCTAAGCAAAATTAGAATCATCTTATTGGGGTGATAAGCAGCTGATAAGTGGGCATGTTTGGGAGCAAGACAGGATAACTTGAGATACTGCTATCATCTCCCATTATGAGCCAAGCTGGGCACAGCTGCTGGTAGCTAAAATCAGTGCTTTTTTTGTTATAGAATGCACCGGAATGGAGTTCCGGCACCTTTTTTCAATGGATTTTCCAAGTTTTAAAAGTAACTTTTGAAAATTTGATGTTTGGTCCACATGAACTTGAATCGCCCTGTCGAGTATAGCAGGTCGGCAGCAAAATCATTAAAACGGTGCATGCGGGCTGCTTGTGTGTCGAGTCCGATGCATGCGTACTTCATCCGTGCTGGTTGTGATGGTGCTGCTCAGCTTGTGACACTGCTTGGCTTGTGACTGGTCGTGTGGTTGCACACTGAGTGCTTACTGCGGGCGGCAATCATCATGTTTCGTTACACAACTGGCATGTGTGTGTGTGTGTGTATGTGTGTGTGTGTGTGTGTGTGTAGTGATTGACTACATGTGAAAGGTAAATAATTTCTTTATTTTAAAAAATCATTGGTGAATAGAAAATTTTTTTTAATTATTAGTGTAAATTTTACTATGAACATTTGCCTTAAATACAATAAATTAAATTTATGTTAAGAACTGTATATATAATTTTTTTAAATAAAAGATTAACAAGATGTGGGTTCCTGCACCTTTTTTCTTACAAAAAAAGCACTGGCTAAAATTCAAACATATCTGGAAAGACAGAAGTTGCCTAAAGAACATATGAAGGACCAGCCTCAATTAAGGTCTCAGGTCTGAATAAGAAACCGTATTACATGGCAGAAGAAATAGAAATAAAATGTTACAATATATGTTCATGTGACCATCACTCTTAAGATATTATCAGAGAGGCTCTGGTCCAATCCTTTTCTTGAAAAACCTTCTGTTAGACCCAGCCTAGATTTTTATACATCAGCAGTTGAAACTACAGACAGAGATGGGGAAGTTCTTTTTTTTCATATTAGGGTCAGTCCCATTTCACTTTTGGTTTCATACACCTACATCACAGCTACCGAAAAAGAGCATTAGGAGCTTATAAACAGATGACAAGGGCTCCTGCCTCAAGATTAAGCAATCTGCCTATGTCAGAGTTAAAAAGGCTGGGGTCTTCCAAATGTTTCTTAACTGGAGAAGCTCCCAATCCATGCGGATGGTGGCCAATGAGGTTCAAGGTTCAAAATCTTTGGAGGCATCAAGTTGTCTGCCTGTGTCTATCATAAAATGGACCCCAGAAGAGAGCAAGGACCAACAGGTGTCAACATTTCCAATATCAATCACAGTGGCTAAGTTTGTACAACATGCTAGATTAGGCTAGAATGGGACCAGGCCATTATTATGCATTGCTTGAGCATGCTCTGTGCATCATGCATTCACATTAAGCCATACTACTAGTAGGATGTTGCATATTACATGAACACAGCAATATTTTCTCAACCTACAGTGGGGGATTAATGTGTTAAGTGAAATCAGCCAGTGGTTATTTCTAATTAAGTAATTACGGCTGGCCATAACACACAATAGAATACTGATTGTTTTGCTGGGGTGCTAATATAGGATGGGGCTAAAGCAACAGTAGGCAACCTGGTGCTTTTCAGATGATCTTGACTGCAGCTACCGAAAGCTATAGAGTCCCAGAATCACTTCAGAATGAGATGGTGGCAAATAAATTTAATAAATAAATAAATAAATTTAATGAATAGATAAATAAATTTAATAAATAAATAAATAAATTTAATGAATAAATAAAATAAAATAAAAAATGAAATGAAATGAAATGAAATACATACATACATACATGCATAAAGCCACAACCAGCAGAGACAATGGTTGAATGATGGGGATAGTAACCAAAGCAGCTATAAGTCATCAAGTTGCTTAGCTCTGTGATAGAAAATTATTTTTTAAAAAATATGGGAATTTGAGAATCTAATATATATAATGATCCATATAGTCAGCAAAAGCCTAGCTTAATCTAGGGCAGGGGTAGGCAACCTTGGCTCTTTTATGACTTGTGGACTTCAACTCCCAGAATTCCTGAGCCAGCCAAGGTTGCCTACCCCTGGTCTAGAACCTGATCATCTCAGCCATAACAACTGTAGTTCTGGGAACTGAAACCCTGAATTTCAAGTGTGGAGAAAGTCGCCTTGCATCAGAGTTCAATTTATTTCTTTTGTGCCTTTGGGAGCCTTGTCCTGAATTGAGCCATCATCAGCTTCTTGTTCTACACACAACCAGTTCTACCTCCCCACTATTTTCCTTACTCCCCGCTCTATTTTTATCTCAGTTTTAAGTTTACGATCAAAACCAAGAACCCTCTTCCCCAGATCTCAAAATACCACAAGCCACACCTTGAGTCTCCTGATGCCATCACTTACCATCCAAGACAACTGTTGATGGTCTCAGAAAGATCTGCTCATGGAGCCGGACCCTCTTCCTAAAGAAGTCCCATCCATCCTGGTCTTTAGCATGGGGCTAATAAATATTGCTGCCAACCTCTGCCCTCCCCCGACCATATCTGCGTCAGCAGAGAACAGAGGAAGCAGATCTGTTTATAAGAGGAAACTTTATCTATGTAAGTACTCATCCGTGTGAGCATGTTTCTTTTCATGTAAAACCTCAAACAGTGCCCTACATCCGCATTCGCTCAACCCAATGAGGAAATGCTTAATGAGCTGCCAAGTGATGGCAGCAAGGAGAAGCCTTCAATTCTTCAGCACACTTGCTCATTATTTTTTATACATGCAGACAACTTTTTCTGAAGCTCCTTTAGCTCTAAAATAACCTTACTCTCAAGAGAAATATCCTAGATCTCTTTTAAATGCAGATGGCAAGTAGAATCCTCAGTATATTCATTAGCGCTGAGAATGCAAAGTCTTTACACCGGTGGTCCCCCCCCCCCCAATTTGCTAACTCCAAAACACATAGGGGTCATCTTTGCTGGAACATCCTATTGAGGTTCAGTGGGGTAATGGTTAAGGATTAGGTTAGAACTGAGTAGATGTAGTCACTGGGTGACTTTGATCAGTATCGTTCACTCAGCTCAATGTATTTTATAGGGTTGTTGCTGAGGCAAGACATAAATCTAACAACAACAACAATACAACCTAGCAACTCTAAGAATTATTCCTTAGTACTTGTTATGCTGCATGGAAGTTTGGGGAATTGAAACACACATCTGGGAAGTGGCAGATAAGGAGTTAAAGTTAAATGGCTGTTGGGAATGATAGGGCACTTCCATGCCACTAGTGTTTCTACTCTTCACTGCCCACCAAGGCAAATGGTCATGATTATCCACTCAGAGTACCACCATAAATTTTGGATGTTAAATGCTATAGCAGGAGAAAAAAGGGCTCCCACTTATGGAGGTGCAAGATGGATGAAGCAAGAGTTCCCACCAAGGGAGAAACTGACTACATTGAAACTATGGAACACTTCCAGAAAAAGAAGGAGCTTTATTACGATTTTGTATGCACAACGATAGAGACAGGCATAATCAAACTCAGCTTGGTTCTTTTTACGATCAGTGACTTTTTTTAATTCATTTCCTCTTAATCTTAGTACATCAAATGAGTCAAACCACCTTTAAGATGGAGGATAATTCCATAACGATTTAGTTTGTCCTGACCAAAAAGGTCTGAAGGCCATGGATTAAGGTAGCATATGTTCTCAAAGCCTCAGTCTCCCCTCTTCTTTGTGGCAGCCCCTCAAATGTTGGAATACTGCTATCATGTCACCCGTTTCTTCTTTTCTTTAGACTAGCCAAACCCAAGTCCTGCAGCTGTTCTTCATATGTTTTAGTCTCCAGGCTTTTGATCATCTTAGCTGCTCTTCTTTGAAATTTCTCCAAAGTCTCAACCTTTTTTTTTTTTTTTTTTTTTTTTGTAGCATGGTGACCAAAATTGGTTGCAGTATTCCAGGTGTGGTCTTACTAGGGTTTTATAAAGTGGTACTAGTACTTTGTGTGATCTTGATTCTATGCCTCTATTTATACAACCCAGGACTGTATTAGTTTTTCTGGCTGGTGCTATACACTGCTGGCTCATAGATGGATGAGGTAGATGGATGACACCTTCAGCCATTGTTATTCCTCATGAATACTGCCTATCGGCAGAGTCATTTATCTTTGTGTGTATTTGGAGAGTCTACATTATGGTTGCCTAGTTTCTGATTTTTCCTGCTGCTCAACATAAAATTGTAGAGGAGGGGGCATATAGCCACCACAGCCAATAGTGGCCAGTAGGAGCTAACCAAATCCCCTGCTATGTCTTCATGTCACTACTAAAGTGTTACAATCATCGATCAATCAAGGGTTGTTTTGGGAGAAGATGGAAAATACTACATTAACATCCAAAGTTAGTTAATGTCAACTATGGCTTGGAAATGTGCTGAAATCTGTCATGAAGACATATTCATAAGAAATAGTGAGGAAACATCAAGTTATATTTAATGGGACAAGTGATAAACTCAAAGAAAGCCTTCTAGATTCTGAAAACAAACTAGAAAAAAATGGTCCCACCCATTGGAGCACTTCCCTCTTCAAAAATAGTCAAGGCTACTCAAACTTGCATTAGTGGCCCAGTGGTTAGAATGCAGTATTGCAGGCTAATTCTGCCTACTGCCAGGAGTTCAATTCTGACCGGCCTTCCATCCTTTCAAGATCGGTAAAATGAGGACCCAGATAGTTGGGGGCAATATGCTGTCTATGTAAGGTGCTTAGAGAGGGCTGTAAAGCGCTATGAAGCAATATATAAGTCTATGTGCTATTGCTATTGCTAAACTAGAGTTCTATCCATGAAGGCAGTGACACAGGGCTCCCAACCATTTCCAGAGGAGAGAGGCACTTATCGAATCATTAAGCTGACTGTTTAAAACAAGCATCAAAAAGGCATTTGGACCTTCTAATTTTCTGGCTTGGTAGCTTTGGGATTCCAAAGCTGGAATAATACATACTAACGAATAGCTGCTGCTGAATTTAATTGGAAAAAAGCAGAGGCTTAATGTTTAGAGGGATTGTGGGTACAAACACTGAGTTCTACATTAACAGTTGGCATGTTAAATGAATTTCCATCAATAACTGAAAATCCTTATATAGGAACTACATGGGACCCATTTATACCCTGAGGCAGATGAAGAAAAAAGTGGGAATGCTATTTTATGCACTGTGCCGAATCTTAACAATGAACACTGGAATGCTAGTTCTTATCAAGATATTGAAATATAATTATGAAATCAAATACTGCCTTTTGGATTGAAACATTCGGGTGAGCTTAAAATGCATTATAAGAGATAAAGGAAGGAAGACATTTTCACTCGGATTCCCAGGCTTAAAAATATATGCTTGAAACTCAGTTCTGAACACAAAATTCAATTTGAATATAAAACATTGAAACGAACTACTCATGTTAATGCTATATGAACCCACTTTTTCTCCAGGCAATTCAGACTGCCTCTTTCCTTCTGCCCTCACCATTACTTCTGCTCACACAGCAGCCAGGAGCCTAGAGGTGGAGAGTGACTCAATTTACTTTCCTGACTAAAAGGAGGTCTGAACCGATGTCTTGCTAGTTATATTTCAGCAAGTTAATGTTTGATCTACTGTAGAATATTTGATCAACTGTAGAAGGTACGAAACTGTGAATGAGGTGATGAGATCTGTTCTTTTCATTCTTCCCAACCTAACAAAAGAAAAATGAATGCGAAGGGACATAGGTCTCTGCTTCTCTGTCCCTATCAGAATACCCTGAAAACAGAAACAGGTTCAAATTTAATGGAGAGTGAGAACCAGGAAAAGGAAGATGGCGTTCACCAAGGTCAAGGCAGTGGCTTCAGAGAAAATAAATCCAGAAAACTTCCTCCTTGTGTTCCTGTGCACTTAGGAGTAACAGCTTTGAAGGTTGCAGATAATCCTCAGTTTACTACTGCAACCAGGATCAGCATTTCTATTGTTAAGCAAAGCAGTTGTTAAGTGAATTCAGTTTTCCCCATTGATTTTGTTTGTCAGAATCCAGCTGGGCAGGTCGCAACTGTCAATCATGTCACCTTGGGAAGCTGCAACTGTTGTAAATACATGTCGGTGGCCAAGTGCCCAAATTTTAATCATGTGGGATGCTGGTTATAAGTGTGAGGACTGATTGTAAGCCACTTTTTTAATGCTTTTGTAACTTCAAACAGTCACTAAATGAATGGTTGTACATCAAGGACTACCTGTATTGTCTATCAAGAATCAGTTGAAATGAATTTATTGACTGTCCTTAAATTTTTTAAAAAAGGATTAAATTTAACCCTCCAGAGGGCCTCTCAAGTACTCAGGCAAAAGTCCATTTGATAATTTTATGGTGTAGCAGATCATGAAAACACAACCAGGATGGACAAGGGATAATAAGACAGCATAACTGATTCCAATTTTTCTGGTTTACAAGACAGAACAAATGGCACTCAGAGGCTTTTATGGGATGGATAAGCACATTTCCCAACAACTTTTATGCAATTTACATAGCTCCATTTTTAGCTGCACTCAGATCTTCAGGCAGTCAAAGTTAAAGCCATTGAACTCAAAGCTGGATTAAAGAGGGAAAATGTGGATCTTGCCAGGCTTCTTTGGCCAACATTCCAGGTCACTCACTGCAGTGTGGAGAGAGAAATATATATTTGCTATATATATCTGTAGCAGGAAGTCAATTTCCAGATTCAGGGACATATACATACTGAAATTCATCAACTGTGCATGTAGTTAGAGAAATGTTTAATGGTGACTTAAACCTTGAGTCCCTGGAATTGAAGATTTCCTCTGACACTACTATGTCAATCAATCAATCAATCAATCAATCAATCAATCAATCAACCTTCCTTATGATCAAGGACCAGCATGAGGAGGGTGGAGTACAAATAATAAAATAAAATAATAAAATAAAATAATAAAATATAATAAAATAAAATAATAAAATAAAATGTTAAAAATATTTTAAAAACAGAAAACTAAAGATTACATAAAAGGCTAAAAAAATCTAAAAATATATTTTCAAAAGTAATAATGGGCATTAAAAACATAAACTAAAACTATCATGATACAAAACACTCCATAATAATGGTCTTGATGTTCACATATTTGTTATACGTTGTCTTCTGACACATTGTGAGTGCTGCTGCACAAAATCTTGCAAGACTATATGTCGTAGCAGAGTTGGTATCTGAGAGCATCAGGGAGGTATAAAATTACCCTATGCACCCTCAGTATTTATAGAAGTAATAGTAAAATAAAACTAGTATAAATGTCTGTCTAATATGCGCATTGAAAATGTACATGTTCTGCAATAGTGGGGAATATCTGTAGCTTGGGTGTGGGATGAGGGTGAAGGTTCGTTCTCCGGGCTTGTGGGTTGGTTTCTGAACATTTCGCTACAAGGCTAGGTACCACTGTCAGCTGGTCAAATGCCCACACCAACACCAAACAGCATCAGTTTGATGGGAGCAACACTAAATCATTTGCCACGTTACCACCCGCCCCGCTTGTGAGTTCATCGAAGCCTGGCACTCCACAAGCAATTCCATCCACAGACACATCGGCCTACAGCCTGCCTACGAACCCCTCAGAATCCAAATCAACCACATAGCCAGCCAGAGACAGCACCAATACTCAATCAACCCACGCAAGCCCTCTCCCCACCAGCAGTTCACCTCCCAATGACCCTGACCTGAGGTAACCTCCCCATCACAAGACCCATCACAAGCCTCCCACTGGACTCACACCTGACCCATCACAAGACCCTCACCTGACACAACCACACCTGAAGCCCTTATAAACAGAAGAACTCTGACACTGATATCCCTAGACTCTACTGAAGATGTTACCTAGCCTGGTAACTAAATGTTTGGAAACCAACTCACAAGCTTGGAGAACAAAACTTCACCCTCGTTGTACATGTTCTATTGTTTCTATGAGTCCAGAGCCACAGGGGCATTGTCCCTCTGTGCTCTCAGTGCTCTTTTAAGGCCAACATGACATGGAAACATAGCCTGCTTTACCTGGCTAGGTAGCACCTTCAGTATTAGAAGGGAGTGGAGTTTGCACCCTGTTTGTATATACAGCTCCTTGCTTGCCAGTGTCGATTGCAGTATTGTTTTCTTCTTGGTAGTTCCTTGATTAGGCTGCTGTTTACTGCATATTTATTTGCCTAAATTGGTAATTCCTGGATTAGGCTGTTATTTATTCTTGATTGTTTGGTTAATCCTGGTATTAATCTTTGCTTATACTAGTGCTGATTGCTGGCGAGGACCTCTTCTGTTTTGTTTTGTTTTGTTTTGTTTTGTTTCCTGATTAGCTTTTTTATTGTCTCTTTTGAATACAGGTAGTCCTCAACTTATGACCATAATGAAGCTCCAAAATTCCATTGCTAAGCGAGACATTTCTTAAGTGACTTTTGTCCCATTTTATGATTTTTCATACCACAGTTGTTAAGTGAATCATTGCAGTTGTTAAAGTGGGTATCACGATTGTTAAATGAATCAGGCTTCCCCCCTTGACTTTACTGGTCAGAAGGTCGCAAAAGGGGATCATATGATGACCGTCACAAATATGAGTCAGTTGCCAAGTGTCTGAGCTTTGGTCACATGACCATGGGGATGCTGCAACGGTCATAAGTGTGAAAAACGGTCATAAATCACTTTTCTCAGTGCTGTTGTAACTTTGAATGGTCATAAGACAAACTGTTGTAGGTCGAGGACTATCTGTAGTGTGTAAATGTTATTTATGAGCCTGTTGATTGCTGACTTGTCTGAACACCGAGTTTTCAGG